AATCCCCCCAGTCTCCTTCACTCTGGCAATTCCTGGACAGGACACCCATTTAAAATTGCATTCTCCTTGAAGTTCCTTTTATTACTCACAAGTATTGCCCTTCAGTGTAGTTGTACGGAAGCTATTCCAGGAGTAGCAGTGATAGCCACTATTTTGGACTGCTTCAAAGGGGCATTATGACAAATGTCATACAGGAGAGAGCCTTCAGGGTGAGTAGAGCTAATGTCAATGCACTACTTCCCGTAGCGGAGGCTGGAGGTCTGGATTTGCCCCCCGACCATCAGGTTCTGGGCCTTGGTCTGCAGCTCCATTCACTTCTGAATGTAGTGGTCTCAGGAAACTCAAAGGAAGAGCTTCTTTTGAATTGAAGAACATTGACACAGTATTCCAAGAAGGAGGAATGGGCTGTCATAATCAACAGACTCCTCCAATTCTATTTTCTGAAACTCAGAACAATGATTAATCTTGTACTATTGGTGGTACTGTATCCCCTGGCATTACTGAAGTGAAAATATGCTGTGTGTCTATCACCAAGGATTGGACAAGAAGAAAACCAGAAAATGGACATCTGTTAAAACCAATAATACGTGATGTCATACAAAAAATTCAACATCAGGCAAAGGGTAGTCCTCTACAAAACTGACAGATTGACACAGACACAAAGAAGAAGGATCATCTTACTGATCAGATATTGGAATTGTGCCTGGCATACACCCGAAGTCTGGAGTAGTTGTGTTACCAATTATAATAGAAACCAATTCACCAATGATAAACTTGTCTAAAATTGTGCCTGAATCAGATTGATTTTGTCTTCTCCAGCTGCACATGAAGGAATTTGAGCTGCTGCTAACATAAAAATACATTAGCAAAAGCAAACTGAGGCAGTATGCAGAACATTCTGGCTTCAAGCCCAGCCTGGATGCCTTCATGACCTCCACTGGCCACCACCAACAGCAACAGTCCTTGCACAAGATGCAGAAAAACTCAAAGAACTCTGACCATCTTGAAATTGCCAACAAGGCCAGGGTATAGCACGTTGTTTGAACCAGCTTCTTTACAGACCTGCATCAGATTATCAAAGTTCAGTCTCAATGTTTGAAGTGTAATATGCACCGGGATTGTAATAGCCCATAGAATCGGAAGAGCACTGCTAATTACATTCATTGAGTAATTCCAGGGTTGGTCATCTGTTTCGCCAAAGTTTTCCAGTCAGAGTAATAACTGGAAAAGTTCCTCACCTGAGGCTATAGCTTGCTCCTTCTCAGAAAATGGAACTGCCAAAAGATTTATGTATGATGAAACAGCATCTTTGGGAGTTGACCAAACTTTCTGCATCGATCAAGCTCATTGATGACTGGTGAGAAGAAATGGTTACCAGATCCAAATGCTGAACAATTTTCTTGGGAGTGTCTTCTGCTGGGACAGACAATGCATCCATTTCTACTCTCTATTCTGCCCAGGAAGAATGTTCCAAGATCTCTTCCTGAGGCTTTTTTTTACCTGGATCTCTCGAACTTGTAATGAAAGTAAATAAATATTTCTGCTACTGATGGTCCCTTATCATTGGACACTCAAGCTGTGGTTTCCATGGATTTATATATCTGTCAGAAGCATTTGTACATTCAGCCAACAGGCATCTCAAAAGCAGGCACAGCAAAACCAATGGAAGCAACCAAAGCAATATGGTTCCTTCTCTGAGGAACCATCAGGAAACAAAGGAAATAGCACAAATGAGCAAACAGAATGTGGAGGGGGAAAGCAAAGCGAGGCACAAATACAGCATTCTCATCACAAGTTGCTGGGGCAGAAATAAAATGGAAAGTGAGAAGAGAGGCAGCAGAGCCAAAAACCCACTTCCATCTTCTTGTCTCTGCTGCATCTTATGGGCCAGCTGCAGCTTGCTAAGAGTCAGGGCATGCCGTTGGATTGGATCCAGACTTTGGGACCCCTCCAATGGAGCCTCTGACATCAAGGAGAATGGAGCTGCCTCCATTTCAAAAGGCCTATTCCAAGTCCAGCTATGTCTGCATTCAGTGGGCAGATGACTGATCTCCAAACCCAGTCAATGCTGTGTCCCTGCACCAAACGTCTCCCCCTTCTGCAGCCTGATGAAAGAGTGTGCAGGTGGGCTGGCATGACCACTCAGCCATCCGGCTAATAGAACACATGGTTGGCTGTTCACTGACAAGCCTGGCAGATATCTGGATTTGCCACACATGTTCATCCCTCCCACACTCTCATCCATTGTCCCACAACCTCTGGCATGAATCCCAGGTGCATTTTTGGTGCAGTCCTCCTAGTGTCCTCAACCTCACCTTCTCCCTCCTCCTGCACATTCTGAGCCCCTTTGGGGGAACACATACTTTGCTCATCATTGTTATGAACTTGGGGACGACAAGGGGGACATGCCTCCCCAGCAGGGTGGGTGCAAGCCTCTCCTCAACACTCGGGTGAGCTGGTGAGAGAACAGAGACATGCCAACCAGTGGTCAGACTCAGCATATGGGTACTCTATGGGGTCATGCTGAAGTCCAGGAAACACTCCTCCACTGGGTCATGGATTTTCCTTGTCATTTTCCATCTCAGCCTAGATGGAGCTGTTTTGAACATTGGTTTGGGCCTTCCCAATGCAATCTTTGTTGGTATGTGTTATTTTGGAAAGAGATGTTGAAAATCCAAGGGTTCTTCCAGAAGGAGGCCTCATCGCACAGCCAGGGCAGGGGCAGAGAGATGTTAGGAAAGAAGATGGGGAATGGATCAGGGAGACACTGATTTTCATTCCTTTTAATGAGTGAAGCATTAAATAGCTGCAGAGTGCCCACTGGTGGGACAGAAATTGAGAATGATATCATTCCCCCACCACTTAAGTTTCCAAGAATTAGGAAATGACCACAAAATGACTGGGGCAAGAAGAGTCCTTATATTCAGGTACCAGGACATTTTGCTATGGCATGGACTGTTGAAGTGGGTGTGCTTGGACTACAGATGTCCTGGGCCAGCATCAGGAGGTCTTCTTAAGCAGAGAAATATAGCTGCCTACAGTACGGAGCTTTCCATAGTTTGGACTTGGGCAAGATGTACTCAGGTTGGTCTGATTGACTGGGCATGTCCTGGCTGATCATAACCCCCCGTTCCTCAAGAAAATGGGGGGGGGGTGGACAGGAAGAGAGGCTTGGTTCCTTGTTCTTCCTGAAACATGTGGTAAAACCTGTGCTCCTTGTGGCAAACAAACCTGAGAAAAGGGAAACGCAAAAGACCTCATCACCATGTTTGGTTCTATGCATGCCCTGGACAAAACTTCAGCCTCCTTCCATCCCTCCTTGTGAAAATACATCTTCAACTCATTTAAAGGGTTATGTTTTGGGATTCCTGTTTCAGGCAGCTTGCACTTCCTTATTTCGCTCTGACCAGTTACACTGCCTGTCAAAGGCCTCCACCTTCTAGGCTCAGTGTCTGTCCAGTGTCAGTCCTGGGTTTCCTGGCTTGCTTGCCTCTTCCTGGCATTACAGCCATGTGAGGTGGTCCAATTTGCCTAAGCGCACATCAGTCACTGCTGGTCTAACTCTGCCAATTCCCCTCCAGCATTCCAGGGCTGAACAGCTCAGTCCTTTATCTGCTGCCTCTTGAAAGGAGCAAGAGCAGATTTCATAGTAGCCTTATATGAATTACATATTTGTCTCTAAAAACTTCAGTTGTGTTTGATTACATTTAGCTTCAATATTTTATTTTTCATTTCCATATTTACTGCTCAGTCACTGGTTATATTAGTGAATTTTCATTTTTTGTTACTATTCATAAAACGTACTACACAAAATACTATATTACATATATACTGATTTTTATTTCTGCCTCAATGGTTTCAGATATACTTTTCCTATTTTTGCCAGTCCCCAACAGTAGAACGGGTTGAAAATCACTGGTCTACTGTGTTGCTGCCAGACTAGTGAGTGGAGCAGACTTCTGTCAAATCACACCCACCTGAAAAAGAGTAAATTCCAACATGATTTGAAGACAATCAATTTGAAACACTCTGTTCCCCCATGAAACTGCCCAGCTTCACAGGTATGACAAGGTTAAGGAATACTGAAGTGCCCCACACTATTCTAAGCTCACTTCTTCCTCACTATCTGATCTCGGGTGTTCAGCTCAGGCCTCAGCATGATAATGTAGATCTTGGGGAGAAAGATAAAGCCCAGTAAGCCAGCACCAGATGCCAGGATTGAGAAGTCCTCCACAGCCACCATGTACTTCCCCTTGGTGCTCAAGTAGGATGGCACAAAGGACAGCCACACACTGCAGAAGACCAACATGCTGAAGGTGATCAGCTTGGCTTCGTTGAATGTATCGGGCAACTTCCTGGCAAAGAAAGCTACCGTGAAGCTGATGGTGGCCAAAAGCCCAATGTAAATCAGAAGTAGGTAGAACATGAGAGGTGAGCCTTCGTTGCATTGAACAATGATTGCATCCACCTGGGAGCACATGTCCAACTCTGGAAAGAGGGAAGAAGTTGCCAGCCATAGAGCAGGGGGAACAGCTTGAATGAGTGAAGATAGAAAGGTGATGGATATTCCCAGTCTATTCCCACCCATTAGCTCATCATGCTTCCAAGAAGTGGCCACAGGGTCACCTGAACAGGTAAGACTATAGCAGCAAGAGTCTCTCTTCCCACATGTTATCTCGTGTATCCTAGGGGTCTTAGCAAAATCAATGGCAAGGACAACAGGCTGAGTAAGCATGTCTTTGACACATCCTGTGTGCACTTTGGAGATGCACTCTGCATTGCACTCTTTATTTTTGAGAAACATGTTGATATTTCAGTTGATTTAGAATGCCACAAGCAGATTATTGATTTGAGTCAATTAGAGACAAAAGCTGACAATTGCTCCAGCTGCTTGACTGATTCTTTCTTTCTGGGAATACTTCAATGATATTCCAGGCATTGACCCACTAAGCTTCGAAGAAATGTCAACCCCAAGGGAGAAAGAACTGCTCCACAAAATTCTAAGATCTCTTCCTCCTGGATAACTGCTCCCTAGTGTTCAGCTCAGGCCTCAGAATGATGATATAGATCTTGGGGAGGAAGATACAGGCCAGCAAGCCAGCACCAGAGGCCAGGATGGAGAAGACCTCTACAGCCACCATGTACTTCCCCTTGGTGCTAAGGTAGGTGGGCACAAATGATGCCCACACACTGCAGAAGACCAGCATGCTGAAGGTGATCAACTTGGCTTCATTGAAGGTATCAGGCAACTTCCTGGCAAAGAAAGCCACCGTGAAGCTGATGGTGGCCAGAAACCCCATGTACCCCAGGACAAGGCAGAACATGGCACTTGAGCCTTCATTGCATTGAACTATGATTTCATCTCCCTGGGACCACATGTCTAACTCAGGAAAGGGGGGAAAAGTTGCCAGCCACACAACACAGATGCCAGCTTGAATGAGTGAAGAGAGAACGATGACAGAAGCTGCCAGTCTCTTCCCCACCCATTTCCTCATGCTGTTTCCAGGCTTAGTCTCCCTGAAGGCCAACACCACCATGATAGTCTTTGCTAACACACAAGACACAGCAATGGAGAAGATGATGCCAAAGACACTTTGCCTCAGAAGGCAGGTCACCTTCCCAGGCCTCCCAATGAACAGAAAGGAGCAGAGGAAGCACAGCATAAGAGAGGAGAGCAAGGCACATGTGATGCTTCTGTTGTTGGCCTTAACGATGGGGGTGTCCCAGTTCAGTCTGAAGCTCATGAGCAGAATCACTGTGGCAACAGAGAGGACACATGCGAAAGACAACAAAACTACTGTCAAGGGCTCCTTATAAGAGAGGTAGTTGATTCCTTTGGGAATACACTGGTCCTGCTCCTTGTTAGGATACTCATCTTCGGGACACATCTTACACTGCTCTGCATCTGAAGGTAAGAAGCAACTTCTCAGTATTTTCAGAATTTACAAAACCTGAATTGTAAGGTCTGTGCATTCTTCCAGTTCCCTCTGGATCCCTTCACTTACCCATCTGTGTTGAAAACCTAGCTTGAGGGCATGCAAGGCAATTGTAGCAGCACTCCGGCTTCTCCTCCTGGACAATCATGCTCTGCCCAGGGTGGCAGCTCTCCACACACCTGGACCTGGGCATCATCTAAGGACAAGATACAAGAAGAACTTGTGTCTTGGAAGGGCTCCAATCCAACTGCTCCATGTCCTTCTGAACACAGAGGGCTTCTCAGGCTTCCAGCTAAGGGCAGATTCCCTTTGGCAATTGAGGAAATTCTTCCCTACTCTTGACACTTCCCAACTCTTGACACTCTTGACCTATCCCAAATCACCTCAGCTGCCACCTCAGCAATGGCAACTAGGGAGCCTCAGTTTCTGGAGTGCTGCTTGCAGATTTGTATTTTGGCACACCTTAGTTCCCTTGGCATTTGATTTCTTTTTCTAAAGTAATATGCTAGCTTTTTTCTGTTCTTTCTGAGACTTCTCAGATTCTAAATCATTATTTATTCAAGCCTAGGGACCCCCATTAATGCTATGGGCTTCATACCTCAGCAGGACTGAATCTGCCAAAGGTTTACTAGAATTTAGAGATAATTTGACAGTACCTAAGAGCAACGACTTCAAAAATTAATCAAACTATTCTTGCTAATGTATTAGCAGTAGCAAAATTTATAATTTCTAATACTTGCAAAATGGAGAAATAATTACACAAATATTCCTATATTTGGCAATATGCTGGTATTCTCAAGCAAATTGGTGACATCCTTTAATATCAGAGAATTTACAAGCTAATAAAAATATAGGAAAAAATGGTTAGAAAGCAAAAAGAGGACCCTTTGAGGAAATGTGGATAGGAAAACTATGATATGGAAATGTGTGTCTGTGCATACATGTTTGAATCATTATATTATAGTTAATTGTTTAGCTATGCTGAAGTATGACTTTGTATATACTGTATACAGAACTGAGGAGCAGCTCATGTGTTCTGTGCATTCAAGTATGTCATAGATACCCTTCCCCTTCCTATGTCACAGATCCCACATCCAGCTTCTCCTGCAAGGATGCAATTGAGACCTTGCAAGAGTAGTGTGGGAAACATTGAAGTTGAAAAAAGAAGGGGAGAGATGGGGACTCCATATTGCTCTCCCATTTGATAGCCCAGATATCAGCTTTCCATATGTAAAATGTAGAAGACGTTTACCTGTCTCCATTCCCTCCCATCCCTGCTGGGCTGCTCTTTCCTTTATCTTGCAGCTTATTCATGTTTCTATTCACATTCTGTTTCTATGGGGACATTATCATTAGGTCTGCTTTGCTCTGATATACTAAGAGAGCATCCGGGATACCAGAATTCAATTCTGGTGAGAGCTGTAGAATTGATGATAGCTACAAAGGTAAAAATAATGCACATGATAGCCATACAATCGATGATGACAATGATGACGATGAGGATCAACCTTCCTACCTGATTAAACTTTTGATTCCACACAATGGCACTTCCATTTAAGTTGAATCCATCCTCTGCAGTAGCCCCGCGGTCCACCCTTCCAACTAGCACTCTGTGGAAGGACCCATTGGGGAAGGTGACCAAGTTGATGAGGTCATGTCCTCCTGACAGCTCCCCATTTCCATCCAAAAAGATTTCTTCTCCTGCACCATTATTGAAGTGGGTGCTTCTCAGAAAGGGGTGAAGCTGGATTGGAGGAGAAAGATTGCTTAAAATATACAGTTGTCTTGATACACCACCCTTCATCATCACAGATAACAGATGTCAGTCAGTGTGTTCTTTCACACATCATGGCAACCCAACCATGCATATGTATACAGACATTCAGACTCCCCTTTAAAATAGCCCATCTGAAAAGGAACGCATTCAAATTCTGAGTGGCTATTCATTCCTGCACTACATTACATTCAGTGGTGCACACCTTCTCAGCCTCCATAGCCCAGAGAATTTTGGGACAGGATGGATAAGTTGCAGATAATAGAGAAGAGCCAATTGCTGGCACAGTGGTGGGGAAAGGACAGTCAAGAAGGGTATCTCATGCGAGAGACTTTTCATGCACTTTTTCTATACGCAAGAAGTCTCATGCTGTTTCTGCTCACTCTGCTGACAGGGTCAACACCACTGCCTCCATCACCATGTTCCTTTTGCCCACTCCTAGTGAGTTCCTTGGCTGACAGGGGACTAGAACCCAGTTCTCCTGTGTCCCGGTCTCTCACTATCAATGACTACGTCACACTGGCTCTCACCAGAACTATTGAGAGGAGTGCTTGCTAGTATACATAAGTTGGTCTTTTTCATATTGCAAACCACACCAGGACCAGCCAGTTGAAACAGGGATACTGATGGCTACACAACATGGGAAAGAGCTGCTATAGATCTGCTACGCATTCTGGGGGTGGGTGTCAGAGTCAAACTTGGTACAGCTCTTGGGCACCATTGATCTTCTGCCCCTTTGCATGCTCACTTAGATAATGCACCTTTCACCCTGCCTATTCCCTTTACTTAACAGTAAGCACTTTTTCCTATCAGTATTGTGATGATGGACCTCATGGCAAGCCAAGTTACCATCATCTCCCTCTCGATCTCAGCCTGAAGGATCAAGGGAAAGCACAGGAGGATGTAGGATAAGTATGGACAAACACAATCTCTCACTTTACTCAACATTGTTCTTGATTGAAGTTTGCATCTCCTTAATCCACTGCCTTCCCTTCCAGGTTCCTGGCTTCAGCCAACATCCAAATCATCCATCTACCCCAAGTATGTTTTCTGCTCACTCCATTCCCATGTCATAGTTGTCTAGGTAAGGCACTAACTTCCCATCCCCACTTCTCCCTTTTGCTTTCAACAATTCTTCTTGTCTCTCTCACTTACTTTCTCTCTCTCTCTCTCTCTCTCTCTCTCTCTCTCTCTCTCTCTCTCTCTCCCTTTTTGTCTGTTATTAAGAGCAAGGATTTAGGGAGTTATTTACAGAAAACTTCTAGCTGTTTTAAAAATGCATAGAAAGAGATACTGATATTTATCTGCAAAATTATGATGACCATCAAGCACACTTCACTGTCATGCACTCAACATTTTACTGTTAGTTGACATTTTTATGAAATTACAATAAAGTATTCCCTTCAGCAGGAAATATCAAAAGAACACAATAAGAATGAAAATAATCGAAAGTTAGCAACATGACACCAGTTAGGGAGGAATAAGTGTTTGGGCTTTTATGAATGTTCCGAGGAAAATATTTCTCTCCATCAAATTCCTAGAGATCCAAGTCAGTGAATGAAATATCTGCCATCTATCTGGAATTATTTCAGTGGATTCAGACATTAAAGCTTATCTCAAAATAAATCTCTTATTAAAATGCCAAAAACTTTGCATGCTTTTGTTGGTGCTGATACTCTTACAGTAAATGAATAATTCTACCAAATAAAATATTTCTGCAGCAGATCTGTGGTGCTGAATGGAGCTCCCACTTCACACAAGGCACAATTCCATCATGGTATTTTCCTGCTTAGATGGATTTTAAAATTAAAAGCATGAACTTTCCACCCACTTCTCCCCTTCTTTCTTCCTTCCAGAAGAGAGTGAGATCTTCTTTTCACTACTGCCTAGGAAATAACATCTGCTAAAAGGTCTTCATCCTCTTTGTGACTGATTGAGCTATCGCCTTAATTCTTTAGTTCTCATTCAAATGATACCTTCTTATGTCACACAGTTTGGAGGTTGGTCATTGGAGGGATTACCTGCCAGGGCTTAATCTGAGAAATCTCCCATCTTGGCCTATCTGTTCTTGGATTGTGTTTGGCTCTCACCAGATCTATGGCATGCAGAGAATGAGCAACCAGATAGGCAGCATTGTAGACATTGTAGCTCTGGCCAGACATGCCCATTTCAAACACAGATCCTGGAAGGCTCCCCAGCTTCTCCTTCCCTGTGCACATCTCCAGGTTTCTGGGGTAAAAATTCTCTTCAGGGAATAAACACTGAAATGCAGTGAACCAGAAAAAATTGATGACAGAACTATTTAACTGATATGGATTTAGAGTCTCCAGAAAGTCCTGAAATCCTGGCACCACATTTGAGTGGAGTCTAAAGGACAAAGCACCATGGAAGGACTTGGAGGTGAATTTCTCCCCAAAATGTACGGCAGTCATATCCCATTCTGCTGTTGTGATCCACACCTTTTCCAAAGGGCGCAGGTGTAAAATCTCATTCCGGTATAACATTATTCGTAAGCCCTCCATAGATTGATTATCACCATAGACAAGAAACACACTGATTTCACTGAGTAGGAGAGTTGATTCCATGGGTCTCATTTTGTCTTCATATGTTTCTGCTGAGGAAAATGCTGACATCAATGGGATCACCTGCGTCCAAGCAAGGCAAATCTTGCTCTGGAGGAGCCTTGGCCTCAGCGCTCGAAGGAAGGTTTCTCCACTCTCATCATCTGAAACAAGGAAGCCAATCCAGGTCCACCCAAAATGTATCAGGAGCTGCACAATCCCAGCATACTGAAGATCTTCCCTTGGCACCATCTGATAGAAAGCTGGAAAGCGACTTTTATCTCTCAGCACAGGATCAAAGGAGCCATAGCTGAACTTTTGGGGAAAACAGAATGATTTTAATGTGAAGGAAAAAAAACATGCCTTCTCAGACTTCAAAGGAGTATACAAAAGGTCTGCCAGGGCTACCCTTCCCAAATTCCTTTCAACAGCACTTAATTCCACACAGTTACCTGAGGGATTTTGTAGGAATTTAAAATATGGGCCCCCTGCATGGAGTTTGGAGAGGTGAGGCCACCAATGACAGCCATCAATTTCTCTTCACTGGCACAGATGTAATTGGGAGGAGCCACTTGTCCATTACAAAGGATTTGCAGAAGTTTCCAAGTGGTTTCTTTTGAATCAAAAATATCGTCTTTAATCATGAATCCCAGTGTAATGTTTGGTAGCAATTGAGCATCTGTGTTGATTTCGTCAATGGCACAAGCAAAAGCAAGAGCATGCTGGAAGTTTTTGGTAACAAGGCTGCATGCAACAGACACATATTCATCATCATGATCTAAGAGTTCAAATGGCAGGAGACATTGTCCTGTAATTCCCTTGTCTAAGTGGGATGATTCCAAGCAGAGGGCAGGAACATCATTTTGAAACCAAGAATAAAGGTGCTGGTTAGTTTCCAGTATTACCCTTCCTCTCTCTGATGATATTCTTCCAACACCCCCCCGCCGCCCCTGCCCCCGCCACCAACACCACCAGGATTGGTGGAGGACCATGTGGGATAGCAGTGAATTGTTATTGACGTTCCTGTTACTCTTCCCAACTTGTCCTAATTGTGTCACCATGGGGAAGGTATTCCAGGAGAAGTGATGATTGCCAACATTGTGGACAGCCTGAAAGGGGCATTGAACAATGTCCTGGAGGAGGGAGCTTTCAGGAGAGGCAGGTCCAGATGACAATGCACTACTTCCAGTAGGAGAGGCTGAAGATCTGGATTTGGACCCTGCCCATGATGGACAGACCCTTCGCCTGCACCTATATCCAGGGTCAGGAAAACAGGGAGCTCTAGAAAATTCACGCTGAATATTTGTTCAACTGAAGAGCAGATTATTCCAATAAGGAGGAATGGCCTGACCTAGTATTAATCTTCCTCCAAATATGTTTTCTTAAACTCAAAATCTAATTCAATCTTGAATTGCCAGTGGGTGTGCATCTCCTGGCTTTAGTGGAGGGAAAATAACAGAATGTCTTTCCCCGAGGTTGAGACAAGAAGTAAACAAAAAACTCAAAATGGACTTCTGCTGAAAAGACACTCTTTTTTTCATGGTTAAAATACTCACCAAGGGCAATACTCATGGGCACATGGCAGGTGCTCTATAGAACGAAATGAAAGAAATGCATACAAATAGAGATGTACTTACTAGTAATTTAATTGAGCTGACTGTGGGTGTTGCTCAAAGTTCCCAGCTGTCCAATTATCAATTGTAATAGAAACCAGTTCACCTATGATAACATCATCGACAGTTTGATCTGAAACAGATTGATTTGTTCTGCTCAAACTCCTGCTGGCACACAAAGGTGGGAACAGTAGAAGCAAAACCAGGTGGAGTGCTGAAAAGTCTGGGATCCAGCCTGATCTGGATGCCTTCATGTCCTCCAATGGCCACCAGCAGCAATATTGATCCTTGTTGGAGATGCAGAAATCCTCAGATGGAAAGAGCTGCCACTGCCCCGAAATACACTTTCAGACTGGGCTGAAGTCCTTTGTTTGGACACAGTGCTTTGAAGATTTGGCACAGAATCTCACAGTCCACTTTTATTGTTTTTGGTGTGTACTCTGCCCAGGGCTTGTGATATTCCAGGGGATGACAACAGTCCTGCAAATGACAGTACTTGATAATTGCAGGGCGGGTCATCTGTTTTGCCCAAGTGCTCCAGTCTCAGAGAGAGAAAATGAAAAGTGCCTCACTTTAGGCTCTTCCTGGCTTCGTCTCAGAACAAAAGTGCAGCTCTCCAGAGACTGCTGCAGAGTGAAACAGCATCTTGGAAAACTGGCTGAACTTTCTCCATAGACCAAGATGAGTGAGAACTGGTGAAAAGAAATGGTGGCTGAATATTTAGTCAACATCCAAATGCTGTACAAGGTTTCTGCATGTGTACTCTCTTGGGGCAGAATATGGATCCAATTCTACCCTCTAAGCTGCCCAGCAAAGATCTGTCACTGAAGCTTGCTTACGTGGATCCCTCATACTTGCAGTGCATGTAAGTCAACAGTGGCCCCTTTCCATTCAACACTGAAGCTGTGTATTCCAGTGATTTAGATATTTGTAAGACAGGGCTGGCAAGGTCACGCAGTCACCTGGCAAGCAAGAAACATGTCTGGCTGTTCACTGAGTGAGCCATGGTGATCTGGCAGATAACCGGGCTTGCAGCAGACTCCCATGCCTCCCGCATTCCTCCTCAAACGTCCCACCAGCTGTGCCAAGCATCCCAGGTGCCCTTCTGGAAAAGCCCTTCCTCTTTCCTCACCCTCACCTTCTCACTGATCTGGCACTTTCTGGCACTTTATAGAGCACTTTGCTCATCACTCTTATGAACTAGGGAAGCACAAGGGGCATGTTATTATTTAACAGAAAAATCTCATTCCACTGCGTGTTTGCAAGAGGTGAGCACTGAGAAATCTCAATATCCATATAGTCTATGGAAGCTGCATGGTGCCATAATGCTGACAAGAAAACACTCCAACACTGGAATGTTTATTTTTCTTACAATGTTGTAACTGACGCTGCATGCAGCAGTTTTGAATATTTGGTGCCAACAGGCTTTTGAACAACTCTCCTTGGTGGAATGTGCCCTTCCTAGGTTGCGTTAACTCTTACATTCAGCCCTAAAACAGACTGGGGCGGTTTGGCAGGGGACATGAGTTCATCTGCACAAGTAATGATGCAAGAGTGTCTCTTCCTGTAACTAGCAGGTGCCTCTCAGCTGTAAGATGCTGCGAGGAGGATTCTAGGTGCTTGAGTAAAATAAATGTGGAGGGCAACAAGTTGAGTAAGAACACCCCTGACACTCCCTTTTTGGCCAGTGGGGGTGCACTCTGCAATTCTGGCAACATTTCAGTAGGATTAGAGTATCACTATTGACTGATGGCGATTAAAAGCAGCAGGAGCCTCTTGTTCCAACATCTTCAATGGTTAGATGTGTATTTCTGGCAAGTCACACCCACTTAAAAAAATGTACATTCCTACGTAATTTGAAAACAACATATACGAAAAACCCTGTTCCCCCCATGAAGCTTCACACCCCCATGAAGCTTCACACTGTAACAGGAATGCCAATGCTAAGGGATAAATAACTGCCCCACACTATTCTAAGCCCCATTCTTCCTTGCTATCTGATCTCGGGTGTCCAACTCAGGCCTCAGCATGATAATGTAGCTCATGTGGAGGAAGATACAGGCCAATAAGCCAGCACCAGATGCCAGGATGGAGGAGACCTCCACTGCCACCATGAACTTCCCCTTGGTGCTCAGGTAGGTGGGCACAAAGGACAGCCACACACTGCAGAAGACCAGCATGCTGAAGGTGATCAGCTTGGCTTCATTGAACATATCAGGCAACTTCCTGATAAGGAAGGCCACTGTGAAGCTGATGGTGGCCAGAACCCACACGTAACCCAGGACAAGGCAGAGCAGGAGAGGTGAGCCCTCATTGCATTGAACAATGATTGCATCTGTTTGGGAGTGCATGTCCAGCTCTAGGAAAAGGGGAGAAGTTGCCAGCCACACAACACAGATGCCCGCTTGAATGAATGAAATGAGAACAATGACAGATCGTAGAAGCCAGAGATGGGTCATCAAAGAACACTGGATCTCAATTTTCTTTCATCTTGGAAACATTTTCATGAGAGCAGTTTTAGCCACAGTCTGAATTTTCAAGACCTGAGTACGGTTCTCATGCACAGTATATCTTGTGGAGCCCTCTGTCAAAGTTTTGCTAGAGGTCAGACATATTTTGACCATAAAGAACAGCAACCACATCAAAAATGCATTAAACAATTCTTGCTCTAGTGCAAGGAATAGCACAATTGTTTTTTTCCAGGAATTGGAAAAATGGAAGAATAATTTCCAAATATGGACATATTTTGGTATGGCTCTATTCTTTGACATTCCTAAATATCAGAGAAATTAAGATTTGAATAAAAAAATAAAGGAAGGAAAGGCTAAAAAACACTCCCTTTATTGAATGTTGGCATCGAAGTAAAATAATACATTTGATTCAATGTCTAATATTTAATTTGAAGTCTAATTTCACACATGCAGTTGTGAAAGAAAAATATCAGACCAATATATTTTATAGATTTTTTCCTGAATTTACCCAATATTAGAATATCAAGTAAAGGGTACATAATCAGCCCAATTGTGTGCTACCAAAACTTTTCAGTAGGAACATCATTGTAAAGCTATAAATTCAGCCAAGCCCAACATGTGTCAACACCATGCAATTCCGTGTTGCACTTTGAGGACAGTGGTAAAATTCTGCGCTTCAGTTCTACTGATTGGATGATAGGCCTATTCTCAGCTTTCAGTGATCCTGAGGGCCTGAGAAGCTACCCATGAGATCTAAGATGTCATATATGAGAGTAGGCAGATAAATTGGTCTCAGATCTATTTATTTATTATTGCTTGGCTACAGCTGAGGGGAGTACTAAGGAAATATCTCTGGAAGAACACCTGTTCCACACCTATCCGACATGCTACCATGGATGTTTCCCCAAATATCTGGTGCCGACACAAAAAAGGAAGGAAGGAAGGAAGGAAGGAAGGGGATAAGTCTGAGAAATGACCTTTTGCCCAAGGCTTCCAACTCTACAGTGCTCTTAGACAGCCACATGGGCACAGGAAAAGCTGGCCTGTTGCCCAGGTTGCTACTTCCCCATGTAAAAGAAAGAATGTTTTATTCTTACATGCTTCTAAAGACTTTTAACCCTTATGAGAAATGAGAAAAACCTGGTGTGGCCTGCAGTGTCTGAAGCATGTCAGATTGCTGGAATCTCCCTCCAACCCACACCAAGAGCACCAGGAACAGAAGAACAGGCCAGGTCATGGTGCCTTCTCCCTCACCGATTCCCAGCTCCCAGGTGCTGCATGCAGCTCCTCCTGCAAGGATGCAACTGGGAACATGAAAGAGAGGTCAGAAGCACAGGGGATACAGGGGGTCTGGAGAAGAAGGGATGAAAAGGCTGAAAAGGAGTGAAAAGGCCAAAAAGGACTCAAAGCTTCTCTCCATGCTGATGGAAGGACAAATCTATAGGCCCAGCGGCTCAGCTACCAGCTTTCCATATGTAAAATGAAGGAAAGGAAGTTTCATTGCCTCCATTCCCTTCTAACTCTTCTGGGCTGCTCTTTCTTTTTATATCTAGAACGCTTATTAATGCATCTATTCACCTCCTGTGTCCATGTGGACGTGATCATTATGTCTGTTGTGCCTTTATATACTGAGAGAGCATCAGGCATTCTGCATAACAGAACGTGATGCAGAAGAAAGCTAGAAGAATGATAATACATAGAAAAGAATGATTGTATATTGCTGATAGTATAAAGATGATGACGATGGGAGGCAGGGAGAAAATGAAAAGGAAGCTCCACACCTGATTAAACTTCTGATTCCACACAATGGCGCTTCCATTCAAGTTAATCCCATCTTCCAGAGTATCTTGAGGTTTCACACTTCCAACTGTGACTCTGTGGAATGAGCTGACAATGAGGATCAACCTTCCTACCTGATTAAACTTGTGATTCCACACAATGGCACTTCCATTTAAGTTGAATCCATCCTCTGCAGTAGCCCCGCGGTCCACCCTTCCAACTAGCACTCTGTGGAAGGACCCATTGGGGAAGGTGACCAAGTTGATGAGGTCATATCCTCCTGACAGCTCCCCGTTGTTTTCAAAATAGATTTCTTCTCCTGCACTATTGTTGAAACAGGTGCTCCTCAGAAAAGAGTGAATCTGAAGGAGAGGAGGGAAACTGCTGAGAATATATTGTTGTCCTGATAAACCAGACATTTTCATTGCTGATGTGGAGAAAGTCCCAATAAAGCCTTCAGATAAATGTATCTTTTGTGTGTTTTTGACAGAAAACTGGCAGCACTGCCCCTTCTCTCCACCCAAAGTGCCCCTTCTCCTCTGCACGCCAAGAGACTGGAACATTTCTGGGCAGCTCCGTATCCCTGGAAAAGTAGGCAGCGCCAGGGGACTGCCCTATTTCTCCTTTCGGGGGCAGAGCAGCTCATAAACGTGTTGGAGGCTACGAATTACAAAGCACCAATAGGAAAGAACACATCCTCTGCACAAGAATACCCATGTATGCGTGAGTTAAGGAATTAAGCAAATGGATACATTCCTCTGCTAATGTGCAGAAGAAGAAAGTGAAACCACATTTCATGCAAGTCCTCAGGTTATGTGAAGCAAGTCCTCTTCCCACATGATTCCAACTGAGCCAATGAATAATTTATGCATACATATAAGTTATTATATTTATAACTTATCTGTCCCCATCAAAATCCCCATATAAGCCTGCCAGATGTCACCTCTGAAAAGGAAACTTCAGCTTGAAAGCTGGCTATTCAATATTGGGGTTAAAATAAATGTGGTGGATCACACTTTTCCAGCCTCAGGAGCACAGAGAACCTGCTGAAAAGGAGGGAAAACTTGCAGAAAATGGAAACTTTCCATGAGCAAAGATCAAGTGCCTTTTACATGTTGTCTGAAGGAAACAACTGAATAAACAATACAAAACAAAATAAAAGTTTGCCTCCACTCTGGGTCAATATCCTTAGTGGCTGCTTGCTGCATGCTGACTGTGGACACTTTCCATGATATTGCTCAGTCCAGGATGCCCACTTTGCACCCCTGGAAGGGTGCAAATCCCCATTTATGCATGTTAGATTATCACAGAAGAAAGAAATGACAAATGTATTTGAGGCATTTTGAGAAGCTAAAAGAAAGCCTGCCAAACCAGTGACAAGCCCTCCAGTTTTCTGCTCGGGGATGTGTGTGCTCCTCCTGACATGCCTTTTGGCAGCCAAGGTGCATTTCCATCCTTAGGAAAGATACGTCAGCTGAGAGGATGGCTGGGCAGGAGCACATCATTGAGGGAGATCTGCCGGTTGCCCCAGTGGGAGTGACCCCATGGCCACTAGACAACTTCTCAGGGGCAAAGGAATATGCTGTATTCCTGCCACAGAGTTATTTTCAACTTGGCAGTAGGAATCGGAATGCTCCGCTCCCTCTGCTTTGCATACCACCTAGACTTTTTCATGAGTCAACAGGTCAAAGGCAAGTTTTAGGAGGGTTTAGAAGGGGGAATCCTCGGGATCCTTGGATATGAGATATTCTGATATCTCCTTCGCATCCCTCCTTCCCCTTCTGGGGCATTCAGCTCGATAGAGGGGAAGGCCCATCTAGCAAAAGTGAAGAGCGGCAGGGCAGTGAGAAGGGCCAGAATCATTTGCAATGCTCCTCCCATGCTGTACTGAATGCCTGTAAGCATTTGCATAAGAGGATCAACAGTATTTCAATATAATGGCATTGGAAAAGAAAAGGGGAGGGTGTAAACGTAAAATGGAAAGGTGAGGGCAGCAGAAGGATCAAGAAACCCCGTTTAGAACAAGTCCACCCTCAAGTCCACTTCCAACATGTGTGTGGTGGTAAAAGGACATTCAAGGATTGTATCTCTTTATGCACTCCATGCACATATTCATGCCCACATTGAATGATCAAGAAGTCACTCTCACTCGATTTGTCCATTCCTGATGCCTAAGTTGCCTGAATGCTTTTCAGGTTTGGACAATGTAGGACATCTTTGCTGCTCATCCTCAAAACAAAAACTCCATGGGGCAGGTTGGGCTAGCATGGCCCAAAATCATGCACTGATCTCCATGCCATAGTTGGAGCAAGAATCCAGGTCTCCTGAGTCCCAGTCCCTTGCTCTAACCACCTGGCCACACTGCCTCTCACCAAAAGCTCTGTACTACTGTACTTGTAAAGTGGCTATTGATAAGTCAGTCCTTTGAATACCAGGAGGCAAACCCAAGCCACCTCCCTGAAACTGGAATCCGGACCTCTGCAACACAAACAAGACCACAACTGTACAAGTGTTAGAGCTTCTGGGACTGGAAGTCAGAGGCAGAAGTGGTCACCATTTATCTTCTGCCCCTTCACATGCTTGACCAGATATTGCACATTCCCCCTGACATTTCCTTTTCCTTAGTGGTAAACACAGTTTCCTATCAGGATACAGACGTTGGTTCTCAGCTGGTCTGAGATGCTGAAGGGAGCTCCTCTTTCACACAAGGCTTAATTCATTCCTGACATCATCCACCTTAGATGTCTGGTAAAGTTTATAGCATTGAGGACCCATTCAATTCTCTTCTACTTTCATCCCTCCTGGAAGAGAGTGAGTTCTTCCTTTGACTACTGCCTAGGAAGTAACTACTGCTAACAGATTTTGTGACTGACTGAGCTTTCTTCTCCTTTGTTGGACTATGTGGACCTGAGGATGAGATGCTGGTATTCAAATAGCCTGTGACTCTGGGTTAACCATAAACAAAATAAAACTGTATTTGTATAACAAGCATATCAGTTCCAAGATGTTCAGTAACTTATTTCCCTGGAAATAAAAACATTACTTATTCCCTTTATTTCATTCCTCACTCTCAAATCTTCCTTTTTTGCTGAATGAACATTGACCAGTCTTTATTTATCTCAGTTTAATCTTTCTCTTCCTCACTCAGGTTCCTGTCAGCTTCTATCATAGAAACATTAGAAACTGAGCAAGTCAGAAGGGATCTTCCAGGCCATCTAGTTTGACCCCAGTTCTAGCCTGAGAGCTTTGCTTATGACATGCCTACCACATGCATGTCCAGCCTATCCTTAAACACCCTCATTGATGGGGCTTCAACCACCTCCCCTGGAAGACTATTCCATGCCCTAGGGGTCCTAACCATCTCACACCCTTGTAATACTTGACAATATTAACCACCAATATGTCCTCCAAGTATTCCACTTCCTTCCCAATTGCCCTTACACATCCTGAAATGCCTTCCAGAGCACTATCTGGCATTCTAATGAGAAGGCTGCCTCTTCAGATTCTGCAGACCACTGACTGACCACAACCCTGACTGTGAACTTCTGCCCAACCATAACTGATTGACTGAAAGTATCCATTTCTCCCTCCTCACACACTTCCAAGCTCCACCCACACACTCTCAGCCAATCCCCTCACTGGAATTTGCCAACCTTTAAAAGGACAAAGTCGCATGACACGTCAGTGGGCTGAAATGCTGAGCACTGAGACCTGAGAGTGAACCCTGGTGAACTCAGTGGAACCACCTTCTGAGTGAATGTGTACTGGATTTCTCTGAGCGCCTCCTGCTATGCCATGGAGATAGAGCAAGTGGCCCTGAAGCAGGCAGGGCTGTATGAAACACTGCTTGCTCCTTTTGATCTTCATGCCAAAGGCCTGGATTGAATTCTTTGTCTTGCCAAAGGCTGCTCATATTGGGAAGGGACTCATTCAGCTCCATCCTATCTTAAGTAGGTGAGGATGCAGGTGAAGATCAGGAACTGGGGGCAACATCTGCCAGCATCCAGAGGGAGGTATTCCCTCTTCTTCTGCCTCCTCCTGCTGTTCACCCATGTTTTGGAATGGGGGTTGAACTCCAGGTGCAAGCAAGAGGTTCAGCGCTTTTTCCCTAGACCCAGAGATGATGTTCTCATTGCTGAATTCGTATCCATTGTATACAGTGAATTGCCTTTAAACCGCTTTACAATGCGTGCAGAATCCTCCAGTAGAGCAACGTAAGTAGCCCTCTGCTGGTTCAAAGGAAGGAAGTGGGCTTTATGTAGTTTTCTGACCAAATGTGTAGAATCCCGGTAGAAGTCATTCTAGTGTTACTGCAGACTTAGGGCTTGTGTCCACACATAGATGCATATTGATTGGTGAAAGCAATGGGTGATGGTTTGCATGTGTGAATAGTATAACATACTTGTTAGAGCTTCCAGACCACATCATTTTAACATACTGCCCTTAATAGCCTTTTGATCATACCCCAGCAATTCATATGATTAAGTTCATGGGAGTCAAGTTTGTGGAGAGAGAACAAATGATGCATGTAGGTGAATCAAGAAAAAGAGTCCAAAACCTTGCACTGTTGCTCAGCTGCAGGATCAGACAGCTGGTAAGAGGCATCCATGGATCTAGTCCTGTCACCTCCTGGGTTGCAGCATTGCCACAGACAGCTTCCCAGCCTTTGCTCAGAGCTCTTACAGGACAACCCAGTTCTTTGGTACTGTTGTGGAACTTCTCCTTTTCCTAATGTCCATTCAGGACCTGTCCACTCATTCACTAAATCCATGAGTTTCAGAGCTACTCCTTTGGGAGCGGAGGACAAGTCCTGGCCCTGTGGTGAGCCCCACCATAGGTGTGAAGTCACGGTGGTCACGGAGGGAGAACCATCACTGAAACAAGCCTTTGGGAAGTGTTTGAGACGTTGAGTGAGAAGGCAATGATGGGGCACTCCAATGCACACCCGGGGGCATCCATGTTCATACTTTTCAGTCTCAGTTCCTGCATCTGTCATTAGCCACATCTGCATGCTGCTGGTGCAGGTTGCTGAGGAGCAACCAGGTGCAGCTAGCAGTGTGATCCACCCCAAGAGGTTCAGCCATGTTTGGACACTGCTGCAGTCTGGGATGCAGGATTCTCTTTTGCCTGGCCAAGCAGTTGCCACAAGTAGTCCCTCTCCTTGAGGCACAAGCTGAGTTGGAGGTCTAGAAGGATCTCCCAGAGCTTGATGCTGCAATGCAAATCCTTCAGGCAGCACACTCAGATTGATGCCTATGGCAGTGATTCTGGCAGGGGAGGAAAGCTGCTCTGCTTGGATGCCTATTCTGGCTGTCCAAGACAGCAAAGTGAGCAGAGAGCACACCTTGGAGCTCGGTTCAAAGGCTTTGGACACTTGGTTGACTATGCACTGCAGTCCCAGTAGCAGCAGAGCCAGCAG